TGTCTGGCTGCCTGTCTGTGTTTCTCTGTATACTAATCCCTCTGCTACAGATGCCCTCAGTCCTGGGGTCTCTTATGTTGAACCCTTTCCCCATGTTTCATGCATGAAGCTACGTAGTCACATGCATCGTCTTCTATGAGTCCTGGGACTCAGCAGAGTGCCGGGTCCCTCGAGGCTCTTCTCTGAATCTCTGGTGTGTATATGGAGGCGTAAGGAGTGGAAAGGAAGCAAAAAGAGAAGTCTGGGTAGCCCTCCATGAGCGTGGATGGATGAAGATGCTGATTTGGAGCTACAATGAGGGACAGCGATAGCAGGAAGCCACGGTGGTCGGATGATGTTAGAAACACTCGGCAAGCGTGTTTAAAACGCTGAGTCCAAAGCGTGATGAGTCAGATTTTTTCCGGATGAGGAATCTGCACTTGTTCCAGGTGGTTCTTGGGCACAGCCTGAGAACTCTATCTCTAGGGACAAGTGGGTGTGAGAGGCTGTCTGCCAAGAGTCTAAAAGAAGGGATGGCAGCAGTGTACTCTATGCCTGAGCCCCAGAAACCACTCCCCACCAGGAGTGGCCTTAGAAACACGGTGACCCCATACCCTGGATGGTTCCTGCATGTCTTCCTGCAGATATTGTTCCATGGCTGCATCATGTGTGTGACAGATATGCCTTAAGTTTTCAGTTAGAACAAGACAATAAAGAAGGTAGGCCCATTGTGACAAAGGAAGGAGAGGTTCCATAGCAAGTCCATGGGGCTGATGGGAGACGGTGAAAAGGACTTAAAAACCCATCAGCCTGATTCCACCACTCGCATTTCTGGGCACTGTTCCCACAGACAAGGCACCTCCCCCTCTTAGTCACCAGATAACACACTAATGTGCTCACACCTTAGACCTGAAGGAGAACCAGAAGATAAGGTACAACTCAAGACATTCGCCTTTCGAATATCCCAACTTCACACCTGCTGGGCAAAGACAGGTGCTTCCGTTACTGGGTCGCGATGGCGAGTGAGTGGTGGCGCTTACTGTCCAGTGTCCTCCCACAAACATGACGTTTGCTGGCCCAGAAGCCCAACAAGTCAGACAGCACCTTGACATCACAGCTGGACTGTGTTGTTCTTCATTTCATGAGAGCCTAGCTCAGAGGTGTACACAGGGAGTGACGAACAGAAGCCATCAGGGCAAAAGAGAGTGCCAGGCGCTGTGGGGAGATCACCATTCTAAGACACAGCCCCTAGCCTCAGGAAACTATAGGGCTCACTAATGCAAGAGGACAGGCAACCACAGAGCAAGGCAGGGTGAGGTGAGCAATCACTCGGGAGACTTATAGTGTGTATTTCACATGAGAGCCTCACCCTAATCACAAACAACAGTACCTAAACATCAGACATCCGACTGAAAGACTCAGGGAGTATTTCATGGACCTGTAACAAACACACAGCACACACACTCTCAGGAGCCACCACTGAGAATAAGTCACAGCGTATGTCAAGACAGAGACGGTGTTCATGGCCGTCTCTCCACACCTAAGCGGGCTAAGATAAAAAGAAGAGGATGGCAGAAGGGAGGGAAAAATACAGTAGCTAGACTCCGTGTTCCATCAGACATGCCAGAGACACCATGGCATCCCTCAGGAATTCCCAGGACACTGTCTAAATGTCAACCTGCACATTCTTCCTAACACCTATAAGTAGAACCCAAGGTCAAAGGCAGAGACGTGGCGGCTTCAGGTTTGCCAGGTTTGCTCTGTGTGCGCGTTAACCCAGAAAGGCATGTACAGACGGACAAACGTACTGAGACCGACACCTTCGGATGAATTCTTCCCAACCTTGAGGCACACACAGGTGTGTCCTGGCAAAGCACACATGTTCCTTTCTCCATTATTTTACACAGATTCTAATGAGCGGGCGTCTTTACATAGCAATCTGCTCAATAAGGTAGAGTCAGCGCAGGGGCCCCCTGAGGGGATCCCAGCTGACGCTAGCTCCAATGTCAGTTGTTCCCCTCGACTGTCATAAATTCCTCCAGGAACACAGCTCTCTAAGGCCCTCAGGGAATATGCACCAAGGAGCCAGAAAAAGGAAAGGGGGGGGGGGTGCCACATCACACCAGTCTCCTCTGGTAGCTGTTACAGGAGCTGAAGGGCTGCATCGTATGAAGCTCAACTGTAGTTTCCAGAACCCTGGATGAGTTTCTGGACAGAAGAGCCAAAGAAAAGGCTGCCCCCGTTTAGCCCTGGAGAAAACAGTTTCCAGTGACTTGAAATTTCCTTGCAAGGTAAAGCAGTTTGCTCAAACTTCACTATGAAATGCCCAATGCGCCTTTCAGCTTGCTGCAAAACTCTCCTGTAACTGATAAAGACTACCAATGAGTCCCAACGTAGTCAAAAACAGTATTATTACCAAACACTCTGGCCATTTTTCTTGCTTTCTCCAATCGAGAAGTGGCACCATCTTCAAGTACAGCACACACATGCACACACATGATCTGAGACTGCATGCGAGGCACTTCCTGGGGAACAGCCATGTGGCCTCTGCTCCCCATAAAGCATGAAACAGCAGTCCAAAGCAAGCTGGCGTTGACCCACGGGGGCATTCAGACTGATGGACTTGAGCGGTTGCCTCATCTGCTTTCTCAGAGCTCAGCAGATGGAAGCCAGGAGCAGGGCAGAGAGCCCTGTGGACAGGAAGGCAGGGTAGCTAAGCCCTTAAAGCCAGGAGGAGGAGGCCCCAGATATCAGCCTCGTGGCATGGGGTCCCGGTATCTCTCCCCTGGAATAGAGATGAGTTAAATGACAGGGAATGCATTTCTGAAGTCTGCATCTCGGAGGCAGCAAGAGAGACACTTTCTCTTTTCCATTTGGTTGAATTATACAAACACAGGAACTCCTTGTTTGCTCCAGGTTCTGAAGACACCATACAACAGCCTCATTAATGTTTCTCTGTGAGCTCTGTCTCACAGAGAAGGAGCATTTGGAAGGTTTACAAAAGGCATGAACAGCTAGAACCTCTGCACCACACTGAGTTGGGGGCTGTGGGCGGGGTTCCCTGAACAGCGTGATATTCCATTACGATTTTATGGTCTGATAGAGTGGGTGAGGCCAGGGGTTGAGTAGACATTTTAGGGCAGCATGAGCACAGGCTTAGATTAGAGCCAGACTCCATTGCAGGTAGAGTTTTGGATAAGAACGAGCCAACCCGCTAGTAGACACTATCACCGGAGGATGATGTGAGACAGAGGTTGTCTCTGCTAGCCTTCAAGGCTGTAGAAGACAGCGAGCTACAGCGGCAGACATGGAGTCCCAGGGTCAGCTCACCAGCATCCTGGTCAATGATGGTGCAGTAGTATCCAGAGGCCAGGGACGTGTGTTTGTGGTGAACTCCATGCCCCCTTGCTCTAACAGCCATGCAAGCAGTTAACGCCCTATAACTGAATCTCTTTCTACTTGGTACGTTTTACACTCTGCTTCCCTGAACTGGCTCTCACGCTTTCTCAATAGTTTAACGCCTTGTCCATCTGCACAGTACTCCAGAGGAGGGCTCCAATTCCTCGGGGCAGAATAATACAACTGAGCATGCTCAGTGCTGTTGGAACTCCACCTCCCCAGGCTAACCTTCTTCTGGTGGGTCACCTTACACTTCCGCACACCCATCTTCTACACCTTCCTACAGTGACCCCTAACTCTCTGTGTTCACCCTCTAACTTGTCTGAAAATTGTTCTCTCTCCACTTTGGTATAATGCTTTGTTTCCTCCGTTCCTACTTCACTTGGCTTCGGTCTCAACCGCCTAAACACACTGGGACAGTCATTACTCAAAAGGAAAAGTATTGGGCAAGCAATTTGTTTCCTCGCTGCTCGCGAGGCTTTAGCAAATGCTCTTCTCTAGCTGCTGCCGCTGACTCCATTGAGATCGCCGCCCAATGTTAGGGTTGCCATGGAGGCCAGGAATAACACGCTGGCAATCCACACCACACAGATCTGGTGTCTTTGTTTTCTAGGCTGTTTTACAAAAAGCCTTTCTTGTAGCTGATCATTAACAGGAGTGACTAATAAATAAGATAGCAGCCTAATGAGCGGAATCACCAAGCACGTGGGATGTGTACATTTCAAAGTCAAAGGGGGACTTTCAATGTTTCCATTCTTCCGAAGGAGAGGGCAGGTCCCGCTGTGTTGGAATGGAACAGCCTCCTGACTCCTAGCCTGGCCCTGTCCCCAAACCACACTCCTCCACCAGGGGCAAGTTGTTGGGTCTGTACAATATTCAGTTTTCTTTTCTGCAAAATGCAGACAATAAGTTGTCATGCGGACTGAACGAGAGACTGTGTGTTAGGACTTAGAATGGCACTGGACACAGAGTAAGAATCATGATAATTTGCTATTTGTAGCCATTAGAATACTAATTTACCTTTGTATTCTCACCTAGGTTCTGTGGCAGTGGTGTGTGGGAGAGGCTGCCATGCTGAAAATCCAGAGACCTGCATCCTAAGTCTAGTGAGGGGACACTAGCCATATAATATTTTTTTTTTTTGCTGCATCATTTTCTGTCTCTACCTTTTAGCCTTTCCTGTGAAATGAGGGTGTTGATGAAATGGTATGTCTTGGTTCTTTCTCAGCTCTAATGTGCTATAGTTTTTAATAAAAGAAATCAAGTGAAGACTGTTCTCTGTCCTTTTACACATGGTTCTAGCCTATGATAGCTAACATTTCTGGAGCGATAGTTATAGGCCAACAGAATGCACTAGGGATTCCCATGGCCTCTCATGGCCTAGTGCCCACACAAATCGTGTCTTTCCATAGGCCCCTACTGGCTCTGAGCCCAAACTATCCAAAGCCAACATTTGTATTGCTTCCCTCAGCCCTTCCCAAATTTAAACTTGATGGAGGTGGGTCTTGTATCTTATCTGTTGCTTTCATTGGTTAATAATAAAGAAACTGACTCGGCCCTCATAGGACAGAAAATTAGGTAGGCGGAGTAGACAGAAGAGGATGCTGGGAGAAAGAAGCTGAGTCAGAGTCGCCATGATTCTCCCGCTCCAGACAGACGCAGGTTAAGATCCTCCCTGGTAAGCCAGCTCGTGGGCTACACAGAATATTAGAAATGGGTTAGAACAATATGTAAGAGCTAGCCAATAAGAGGCTACAGATAATGGGCCAGGCAGTGTTTGGAAGAATACAGTTTCCGTGTAATTATTTCTGGGCATAAGCCTGCCATGTGGGCGGCTGGATGCCGGGGACGCAGCCCTGCCGCTCCTAATGCAACATAAACTCTTGGTACATTTGGTCACCCAGATCCTCCTTTGAAGTTTGGACTTATTTGCTCGCTGTAGGACTTATGAGACCTTCTCCATCCTCCCTTCCTGGCCCCAGGAAACTCTGAGCAACCAAAATACACACACTGTCTGCCTTTCATCATGCCCTACCTCCTTGGATATATGAAAAAAAAAAAAGACTTTTCTCAACTTGAGTTCCTCATTTCTGGATTTTGAAAAAACTTACTCAAATTGGTTTCACCCCTTGGTTACATTATACTGGCTTCCCTTCTGTAGCCCCAGATGTTGCCTAGGCAACTGGAGGGGAGGTTGCTTTAAAGATTCAAAGCTGCAACTGGACATTGATAAGTTCCACTCTGCTGAAGTTAGGGAAGTCAAAAGGTGATACATATTTCTTCCACAATCCAGGAGAGTGGGGAGTACAGTGGCTTCCCAGGAGATAACTGAAACTTCTAAGAATTTATATGTTGAAATCCTAACCCGCACTACTTCAGAAGGAAACCATATTTGAAAATAAGATCAAAGAGGTTATTGAAAGCTAGGTGTGGTCACTCACAATTATAATCCCAGAACTAGAATAGAAGTGGAAGGATTAAAATTCAGGATCATCCTCAGATACATAGTGTATGAGGCCATCCTAGGCTGTATGAAATCTTATCTCAGAAAACAAACCAAAAAACGTTATGAAGAATTGGGTGTGATGGTTCACACCTGCATCCCTAGTACTGTGGAAGTTGAGGCAAAAGGACCATCCCAAATACGAAGCCAGTCCAGACTATGCAGTGAGTTCCAGGCCAGCCTGTGCTACAAAGTGAGACTTCTTTAAAATAGATGGTAGATAGATAGATGATAGACAGATAATAGATAGATGATAGATAGATAGACAGATAGATAGGTGATAGATAGATAGATAGATAGATAGATAGACACACAGAGTTATTAACTTAAAATGGGGTCATGAATGTGACTGTTAATGTTTTTAAAGGAAGAAATTTAGAATCAAAAAGGTCCATGAAAAGAGGCCATGTCAAGACACAGGAGTGGAGGTAACTATCTACAAACCTAGGTCAGAAAGTTCAGAAGAAACCACACTACCAACACCTTAACCTCAGCTCCAGCCTTCCAAATTAGGGGACAACACATTTGTGTTGCTTACACCCCCCAGTCTGTGGAACTCCTCTGGAAGCTCCAACAACCTGACACACCACTCCAGTCTCTATGCTATTGTTTCAAGAACACAGTAAATATTTATAGACCAATTGATTGTGTAATGTTTAAAACAAGCTCTTCTTTTTTGCTTTTTTCCATAATACTCATTAAATATTTAGGTATGATTTTAAAAAGCAAAGATGATAATCTTTATATAAACACTTTGGAAGAATATGAAATACTGTTTTATGAAAGAAATTGTGGTATACGGGCATCATAAATTGAACTCAGTGGATTACTTAAGAAGGGAGAACACAGAGGAAGGGTGAGAAGTGGGGGTTATTTAAAGGGAATTAAAAAGAGGGATGGGTGAATATCATCAAAATACATTGCATAAAGTCTCAAAAAATGGTAAAACTTTTTGAAAAGAATGGAATTATGACATCAAAGGGAAAATAGATAGAAATGGTCCATGAGAGACCCTGTGCTGGGTGAGCTCTGTCTCTGTGACCCTGTGCTGGGTGAGCTCTGTCTCCGTGACAGACCCTGTGCTGGATGAGATCTTTCTCCGTGAGACCCTGTGCTGGATGAGATCTTTCTCCGTGAGACCCTGTGCTGGGTGAGCTCTGTCTCCGTGACAGACCCTGTGCTGGGTGAGATCTTTCTCCATGAGACTCTGTGCTAGTAGTTTTTTGTCAACTTGATATCAGCTAGAGTCATCTGACGGGAAGGAACTTTAATTAAGACTGCGTCTCAATGAGATCAGGCTGTAAGCAAGCCTGTTCTTAATTGGTGATTAATGTGGGAGGGCCCAGCTTATTGTAGGTGGTGACAGCCCTGGCCAGGTGGTCCTGGGGTGCTTTTAGCTCCTGCCCTGACTGCTTTGATGATGAACTGTAATGTGGAAGTGTGAGCTAAAACAAACCCTTTCTCCTCCAAGTTGCTATTGGTCATGGTATTTTATCACTAAGACAGATCCTGCCTCTAAAAAGTGAGGTGCAGAGTGATTGTGAAAGCCTCCCAACATTAATCTCTGGACTCCACTTGCAGACATACACACACACACACACAAGCACATGCACACACATACAGGCACACATGCATACACACATGTATGCACACCCAAACATGCACACATAGACACACATGCACATGCACACACAATGCACACGTGCATACACACATGTACACACCCAAACATGCACACATAGACACACACATGCACATGCATATACACACCTGTACACACGTGCACACAGAGCACCCCACGTCAAGTTTCCAAACTCCAGATATTTCGTTCTTTCAGCTGTTTGCTGTATTCCTGGCCTTTGGAAACCTTCATTAGCCCGGGAATTCATTTACTCCTTCTAGGGATGGACTGAGTGCCTGCTGTATACCAGCCTCACTGCTGAACTGCTGAACCACGCAGCTGACAAAGCAGGGACTCACTCTGCAGGCAAAGGGTGCCAGTGAGGGTGGAGAGCCTGCAGCAGGAAAGCAGTTACGGTCCTGCCATTGAGACTCAAAGATGAGCCCAGTTCAGGTGGATGGAACAGAAGGGAATATCCAACACCATAGGTAAAGGATCATTTGGGCAAAGGAAACACATTCTACCTCTGGCCACTGGGTCGTTGTTAGGAGTTTGAATGAAATACCCAACATCTTAAAGGCTCAGCTCCTTTGCCTGAAAACGGGAAGATCACTGAGCTGAACAAAGTGCGAGTCACCCTGGCACAGCACCAGGCAGGCGGCAGATGCAAAGGAGAAATAACCACAAATGAGACAAACAGCCCACGGCAGCCAGCATTACCATTAGTTATGAAGACCAGAGACATGACCAGCCCGTGATTGGCCCTCGAGAGAAGCAGAGCAGCCGGCGGCACAGTGGCTTTGTCACCCATAGAGGGGACCCCGCCCTCCTCCACACCACAGCCATATACTGCAGATGCAAAACCCGCAGACAAACTGGGGATACGACTTTTGGGAATTGAAGGAAGGCAACGAGAGAAGGAGAAATGAGAGGAGATGAAAGGAGGCTCTAAGAAAGGAAAGAGATGGGGAAAGACTTTCACAGGGGACAGAAGGAAAGAGGCTGCATCGGAGAGAAAAATCAGCTTATCTGTTGGCTAGGAAAACATTCACATCTGTGGCTTATTGGAAACCAGATACTCACTTTCTAGGGTTCTCCAGCATCAATCACAAGACAGGAGAGAGGAATTTGTTTTATACAGTTTATTAAAAATGAATGATAACAGAGGTTGGTTTATATATTAATCAGGCATGAAAAATGTATTTGATAAAGAACAGCATTCCTGTATAGAGAAGCAACGATTCCCTCTGTTGAGCCCACACACAATTCTACGGATTCTGCTGAATATGCACCGTCACTGGGCATTGGGGGAGGATTTACTTCAAAAGACTTTTCTATTTTTAAGGAATCTCATAAACTATACATCAACCTTCATTTTTTATGGTCAGTTCTAATGATAAAGACACACTCCAGCCAAGCGGATCCTGTGGAGACTCCGTACCGCCCTCTGCGTTGGCACTGGAAGAGACTGGTTCCCCACACAGGCGTGGGTCTTACCTCTGCCAACTTCTCCCTCGTAGGAAAATGCTAGCAGCTTATTTTCGAAGTTTCAGAGGGGTGGGCCCAGCCTGAAGCTAGTTAATTCTCCAGCTGCAATTCTTCCTGCAGATGTTATTCATCTCGAATCTTCTTCCTGGCTCACATTCCACAGCATCTCCCAAGGCCTTCCTCTCGCCCATTTCCACCCCACCTCAAAGACGGCTCTTCTGTAATGGATCTTATACTAGAATCTTCAGAAATCAGCTGTTTAAGCTTGCAAAACCAGTGAAAGGAGACTTTCTGGGTGTGGGGCTGAATAACCTCTATTCCAACAAGCCTTCCAGGGGCTTCTGATGCTCTTGGTCCTATTGCCCATCCTCCCACGGCTCTCCCTACCCCAAACTTCTCCCTCGTCTTCCAGAACGTGGAAGACTCTTACCTGGAGTGAGGGAAAGACAGCAGAGGATTCTGCACATCATAGATGGGTGTGGAAAGAAAGAATTAGTGACCTCACATTCTCTAGATAAAACCCGAGGGATCACCGACTTCCTCCTCTTCTAGAGAGGAGCAAACTGAGTCTCAGAGAGAAAGTCATTTGCCTACATAAGAAGTAGTCAGATCAAGACAAGAGTCAATGCTGGGAGGTGGCTCAGCAGTTCAGAGCGCTTGCTGTACAAGCCTGAGGACCTGGATGAAGATTCTCAACATCCACGGAAAAAGCTGGGTGTGGTGTGTGCATGTCTGTCACCCTAGCACCATGGTGGGGGTCGGGGACAGAGGAAAATCTCTAAGACAGACACACAGAGAGGTTAGGAGAGAGAGAATAGATAAGACTGTGAAGAAAAACACCTGAACTGGAATCATCTGGCAGCAGGGATGTGGCTCAGTTTCTACACAGACATCAACCTTGCATGTATAAAGTCAAGGGTTTGATCGCCGCCACCACTAAAGAAATGAGTGAATAAATTAATAAGTAAGCAAATAAATAATGATCCCAATGGCAGAGCCAGCCATCAGATATTAATACTCTGCTTTTGGGCAGGAACACTGACAAGATTGGAGGTGAGTGGGACCCCCATGGAAGAATAAGCCCAGGCTGAAATCAACATGTCCTACTTAGGCCACATATATCTTTCTTTGCTCTGAGTACAGGCGCAACAAAACCACATAGCCCTTTAATAAGGCTGAGCTTGGTTTCTGTGTGGTTTGCAAAGTTTTGACAAGTTGATAAATTGCTTAACCTCTCGGAGACTCTGCTTCCTCATACTAAGAGGCACATAACAAGACTCAACTTGCAATGTTTCCCCCCGAAAGCTTAAATGAAACAATGTCTGTCCCAGGGGTTCACAGACCAACCGCCCGCTATGTGCTGTGATCCATGAACAATACTCAGCCCTCTTTCCAAGCGAGTCACAGTCTGGTGGTAAACATTAATTACAGAAAGAACTGAATGCCAGTGTCCCTGAGGTAGGAACCACTGCTCTCCCTTAGAATATAACGTTCTGGGGTGGATACCTTGGCCGGCAACCCACCATTTGTGTGGCCTACTGAAGGGGGATCTTGCCTTGTTGGGAGAGGCAGGAACTGGCATTTGGCTTGACTCTAGCTAAAAATGGGTTAGTATTTCTATTGCTGTAATGAAATACTAAGACCAAAAGCAGTTTGGGGAGGAAAGGCTTTATTTGGTTTACACTTATAGATTGCTGTTCATCATCTAAGGAAGTCAGGACAGGAACTCACACAGGGCAGAAACTTGGAGGCAGGAACAGATACAAAGGCCATGGAGGGCTTGCTGCTTACTGGCTTGCTCCTCATGACTTGCTCAACCTGCTTTCTTATGGAACCCAGGAGCACCAATCCAGGGGATGGTATCACCCACATGGGCTGGGCCCTTTTCTTCATCGACCATGAATTAAGAAAATGTCCTATTGGTTTGCCTACAGCCTGACCTTATGGAAGCATTTTCTTAACTGAGATTCCCTCTTTTCAGATGACTTAATCTTGTGTCAAGTTGACATAAAAGTATCCGGCACAATGGGTCTAAAGAAAGACACTCCAGGCAGAATGAAGATAATGAAAACCAGTCAACAAGACAAAATGACAGCCTACAGAATAGGGAAAGATCTTCACTAACCCCACATCAGACAGAGGTCTGATCTTCAAAATATACAAAGAACTCAAAAAACTTAACCTCAAAAGAACAAATAATCCAATAAAAAATGGGGTACAGACCTAAACAGAGAACTCTCAACAGACGAATCTCAAATGGCTGAAAGACACTTAAGGATATGTTCAACATCCTTAGTCATCAGAGAAATGCAAATCAAAATAACTCTGAGATTCTATCTTGCACCTGTAAGAATGGTCAAGATCAAAAACACTGATGACAACTTATGCTGGAGAGGATGTGGAGTAAGGGAACACTCCTCCATTGCTGGTGGGAGTGCAAACTGGTACAGCTGCTTTGGAAATCAGTATGGTGATTTCTCATAAAATTAGGAAACAACCTTCCTCAAGACCCACCAAATACCACTTTGGGGTATATATCCAAAGGATGCTCAATCGTGCCATGAGGACATGTGCTCAACTATGTTCATAGCAGCATTGTTTGTAATAGTCATAACCTAGAAACAATCTAGATGCCTCTCAACCAAAGAATGTATAAATAAAATGTGATACATTTACACAGTTGAGTACTACTCCATGGTAAAACAATAATGACATCTTGAAATTTGCAGGCAAATGGATGAATCTAGGAAAAAAACATATTGAGTAACCCGGACCCAGAAAGACAAATATAATATGAGTGGGTTTTAGACATAAAGCAAAGAAAAACCAGCCTACCATCCACAACCCCAGAGAACCTAGACAATAAAGAGAGACATACAGGGATCTATACAGGAAGGAGAAAAAGACAAGCTCTCTGAGTAAATTGTGAGTGTGGGGGTCATGGGAGAGGGTAGGAGAGAGAGGAGGAAGGGAGGGGAGCAGAGAAAATGTATAGCTCAATAAAAACAATTTAAAATGCAAAAAAAGAGAGATCACTCTCAGGAATGAAGACATCAAGAATACGTGAGCATTTGAGCAAGAACAGTGAGGGTTTCTACAAAGGCTGTTGTGCTGTGTTGGTTGCCTTGGAAATGGTACCCCAGCCCCCGCCACCCCCACAGGACAGCGATGCACAAAAGAAAACAAATGCGCACAGATGATGTGGCAGCATCTGTGGGCAGGACAATGTGTCTTGCAGCTAGCATTGCCTGGAGGAGCCTGGGAAAGAGCTGGCGAGGGGGAGTGTGCTGTAAGTAAAACAGGAAGAAGCACAAAAGCTGCTCTGACTCTCTACTCAGGCTGGGTAATCAGTGCTCATTGTTTCTCCTATTGATCTACAGAATTGCTCTGGATGGCACCTGCAAGCCAGATGACTAGTTAGACCCCGACTTTTGCCCACCCAGAAAAGCCAGGTGGTCTAGAAGGCCCCTCAGGCACAAAGTCAAAAGGACCACAGTTACTGTCTGTTTAAAGGCTCAGACCTGTCCTAGAAGGCCCCGAAGTTCTAAATCATTAGTTCCCTGTTCTTCTGGGTTTGTTTCCTCTTCAGATCCCCTACCATCTTCAGGCCTCTGAGCGTCATCTGCTGCCTGCTCAACCCTGGGGCTCTCCATGGTCACGACCTTCACAAGTAGTGTTCCCTTAAACCGCTATCTTGAAAGTGGTTTGGGAACCTCAAGGTTTCCTGAGACTCCTTCAGAAAATGCATGAGGTCAGGCCTGTGTTCATAACACACATGTTCACCTTTCACTCTCGCAGACTTTCATGCGTGAACTGGTGTGGTTTTAGATTCCACACTATGACAAATTTCAAGAAAGTTCTGTCTGTCAAGTCTCATGCCCTGTCGAAGAAGACTCACACAAGAAGACTGCTACAAGATGCCTCTCATTTCTCCAACTACATGCAACGTGTGCATCTATGTGGGATCTAGGTATGGCCCAACCCAAACATCCCATGACTGGAAATACAGCTCAGAGGTAAGCAATTGCCTAGCATGCCCAGGGCTCAGTGTTCAGTCCCCAGCATTTCCCACAGCCCCCCAAATCATCACAGATTGAAATGTAGGCATCCAGGAATGTTATATCAAAGCAGACACCAAATAGATTTGCAAAATTTAAGACAGAAATACCGTTTTCACTGATTTTTATTATTGATAAAAATATTTTTTTTTTCAAGACAGGGTCTCTCTGTGTAACCCTGGTTGTTCTGGAACTCGCTCTGTAGACCAGGCTGGCCTCAAACTCAGAGATCCCCATGCCTCTGCCTCCCCAGTGCAGAGTATTAAAGGCCTGTGCCACCACTGCCTAGCTTGATAAAATAAATTTTAATAAAATAGCTTATATCAACATAGTATGGATTTATTATTGTTTTTTGTTAACCAGTATTTTTTAAGTTCTTCACTTTAGTTCCTGGTGCAGTGAGTCATGATATTTCTAGCCCACAAGAAGCTCTTTGAGATTCGCAAGTTATTCCCGAGTGTGTGAGGAAGATTCCTGAGGTCAAAAAGCTGGCGAGATCGTGCTCAGCCGGCAGACTGGTTAGTTTGGAGATGCCTGCACAGTTGCACACTGATTCCTCCAGATTATTGACCTTCCTATAACCTCACTGCACGCTCTTCAGGGAGGCTATTGATCTTATTGATCATAAGCCTTCCACCCTATATCTGTGTCTGTTCCAGAGTAGAAATCCCATGGATGGAGAAGGGGAAAAAGTAAGGCTTTAGATAGAGTGATGGCCTACAAACACTGACGGGAGGAATGGGTATATACGTGCAGTTTTGTATGTGTATATTTGTATATGATGGGGGTATATGTGTGCGTATATGTTTGTGTATGTGTAGGTGAATGGGTGTGCATGTGTGTGTAGACCAGAGGTCAATGTTAGGTGTTGTTCCTCATGACTCCATCTACTCTCTTCCTTTGAGAGTCTCTGACTCGCTGAGGCTGACCAAGTGGGTTAGACTGGCTAGCCATTGAGCCCGTGGACTCTCCAATCTCCACCCCTCCACTACTGAACTTACTAGCCCACACTACTTTTTTAAACATGAGTTCTGGGGGTCGAACCCATGACCTCATGCTTGCTCAGCAAGCACTTTACCAACTGAACCATCTTTCTAGCCCCATTTGTTACTGTGACTCTAATTTGAAAACCTGGATAATTCTCATTCTCAGTCCAGATGTGCCAATCACCCGTGGGATTCCCCCAGTGCCCAGCACAGTCAGCAGAGGACCCAGAGGCAGGAGCCCCCCAAACCCAGGTCCTCTGGTCCAGGGCCTTCCCCGACCCACACCGCTGCCTGCTGCCGCTGGTGCCCCCCACTCACCCAGCAGTGCCGTCTGGGGATGTGTTCGCACTTGGCGGCCTCTGGAGGGAAGTCTGGCTTGTGGGCGATCTCTAGCTCCAGCCGGCAGGAGGAAGAATTGACCAAGCATCAGCAAGCATCCCACCAGCATCTTCTCCATCTTCAAGAGGAGCAGGGGTGTGGCTGTAACACAAGAAAGGCAAGTGACATTTCTTGTGGAACTAAGCTGTGAGCCTCCGTGTGGGTGCAGGGAACTGAACCCTGGTCCTCTGCCAGTGCTGTGGACTGCTGAGCCATCTCTCCAGCCTTTCCCCTTCCTACTACTTTCTTTCATAATTTCTTGCTATTAATTACACAATTCGATACGATACTCTAAATGTGTGGCACCATCTATAAGTGATTTACTGTTATTTTATCTTCCTGTGTCTTATTTGCCTCATGTAGTAGAACGTCCTCCAGTTCAATCTGTTTTGTCCCATAAATAAATAAAATCCGAAGTGAATTCAGGCTACCAGGCAAGCCCCTTTACCCTCTGAGCCAAGCCACCAGCTGTTCTTTTGTGATTCTTACCGTTCTGCATTTGAGCCAATTATGGATACATGTTGATCTATGGTTTTTAGAATTTGCTTTTTGAGACAGGGTCTCACTGTATAATTCCAGCTGGCCTCTAACTCACAGGTATCCTCCTGCCTCTGCCTCTCAAGTGCTGGGATGAAAGGAATGTACCTCCACACCTGGTGTAGCTCTAAGATGAAAATAATGGTTTAAACACAACCTTACTAAACCAGCACAATGCCTAACTATACTCTAAATTTTTATTCTTATATTTACAGATAAGTATGGTCCCCACCCTGTACCAAAGAAACTTGTTTTTGCAAGAGAGACCACTACAGAAAACCACAACTAAGAGATCAGAGCTGTGTGGCGGCCAATCCCAGCCAGCACACGTAGAACGTATTTTCACACAGCCGGCTCAGGAGTCACTGTGGAAGACTGGGTGAAAAGATGGTAAAAGTCAGAAAGACAAGAAGGTCACCATGCGACTGCTAAAAATGCTGCTACAGAGACAGCACCCATGACATGTCACAAAACCTGAACACCACCAGCAGTGGGCATGCTAACAAGACCGGGGAAAGCTCACGGGGCCTAAACCCTAGACAAGGACCAACGAGCAACTGGGAAATGCTGAGAGTGAGAAATGATCTTCCTCAGGGAAGAGCCTCCCTCTTCCATGTTGGAAACCTTATATTTTGTTGGTAAAAATGCAAGGTGTGTCCCTTTAGAACATAATTTGGCAGCTTCTCATAAAGTCACACCTCACCAACATACCACAGCACAAGATGGCCCATTGTCTCTATTTACCCATGCTTCCAGGGAACTCCCATCCCCTGGAAAAATCCAGGAAAATCCAGTGTATTGTCTGTCAGCCCAGATCCTGGATACTCAAACACAAGAGCGTGCGTCCACACAATAACTATTTCTTGGCTGCCTACGGAGGCTGCATTTTTAAAAGCTGAACACTGGAAACAATCCAACCACTAGCAGCTGATGAATGGGGAACAAATTATGGGACATCCGTACAATGGACTCCCACCAAGTTATCAGAGGAGGGATCTGCTAGATGAGTCTCAGAATCACACCAAATGAAAGCAACCAGACACAAAAACACTATGTTCTGAATTCTTCTGATTATATGAAATTCAACAAAAGGCAAAATTACATGGCAGGAAGCATATCAATGGTTCTAGAAGATTGCGGTTAAAAAAAAAAAAAAAAAAAAGAAGGAACCAGCTGTGGAGGGGCCAAAGGGAACCTAGGAGGCTATGGAAGTACTTACATCATGGTTATGGTGGAGCGATGCATTTGCTGAAATTTATTAAGTCGAATCCTTTAAAATTAATGCATTGCACTGTAAGTTAAACTTCAAAAAGCCATTAAAAAAATAAAGGAATGGCATCAAAGAGCTGAAGGAAGGAGTTGTGGAACGCTGACTTCTGGGCAGGGCACAGCTGTGGCATTTGGGAACTGTCAGAAGCTGTTACCTATACAAGGCCTGCACGAGGTTGGGTGGGCCTGTTAATGTTCCCCCGTGGAGGGGAGACCAGGTTCCAGGCCTTGTCCCCACTGAGGATCTCTAGGTAGCTATGGTTACTAGCAGAGGGGGAGACTTTTTTCTAGTGGTGCAATCATGGTAAGCTGCCCATATTCCTGTATGCACCATTAGAACCCACAATACAGCCCAGAGAGAAAGAGAGAGAGAGAGAGAGAGAGAGAGAGAGAGAGAGAGAGAGAGAGAGAGAGAGAAGAAAAAGAAGGAGGAGGAGGAGGAGGGGGAGAGGGAGAGGGAGAGGGAGGGAGAAGGAGAACCACGAAGACCAGTGAGATGGATCAGAAAATACAAGTGCTTGCTCCCAAGCCTGGAGATCTGGTCGGGAAGAACCGACTTTACAAGGCTCCCCTCCATGTCCGTGTGAACCCCATTAAAGACTTTAAGACCTGAGAGTAAAAGAGGAATTAGTAGGGAGAGGAAGGGAACAAGCAGGAAGGGAACAAGAGAGCAATGGGGGCAAATGCAGTCCAAAAATATCAGATATGTGTATGAAAAGTCTTAGTGAACCCATTACCATCCATAATTAATATGTGCTAATAAAACAGAAAGAATACTCCATACATACACAATAATGGTATTATTAGTATCAGACAATGCAGTTTTTTATATAAAAAGCTGACTCCTGTCCTCAGGTCAATGGTGGTTTCTTGGTTTGGCATTTATAGCTGTTGGCCTCTGAAGACGATGCATCATCTCTGAATGGAAAATGAAGTGGCTTCTGAGGACAGCCCTTTCAACTCCGGGCAAACGAGAATGGCTGTGTGTGAAATAGAGGCCCATTCGCTCTGAGCCGCTTTAGTGACATCAGGGAGCACAGAAAGAATGTTTTTGAAATAATACAAGCGCTTTGACTTTTGTTTTAGCCCTTTTCTCCTTTCCATGAAACAATGAGTTCTTTCATGTGGCTCTCCTAAGAAGCTGGGGCAGAGGAAAAAGGCCGCCGAGAGCTGAGGTTCTTCTGACCTCACCATTCCGGCTCGCCAGGCAAGAGGGATCCCTCTGGAGCCAGGAGCACTTGCTGGGGCCTTGAGCTGAGAGATCTGGCTCCTGATGACTTTACTTGTGTGTCATAACCCCCTGGGCTTTAATTACCCAGAGAACCCTGCTATACTGAAGAAACCTACAGGCAAAGTTAATCCCCATTCACATAAGAAAAGGAAGTGGGGACCTGGGGAAAATGTCTCAGTGGGTAAAGGCACTCACTGTCAAACCTGACAATCTGAGCTCTAACCCCAAGACCCAAGTGGTAGAAGAGAACCAACTCCCACAGGTTGTCCTCTCACCCCCACATCTGTGCGTACATACACACACATACACATACATACATACACACACACACAATCGGACACACATGCATATACACACATACATACATACACACACAACTACCTAAATACATACAAATACATACATACACACAAACACACAAATACATGCACACACTAATACATAGACACACAAATATATACATATACAAAAATACAGGCATACATACATACATATACATATATATATACAATAAATTTTCTAATGTAATTAAGAAAAGAAGTGTTGATTTCGTGCCTATGTCAGGCCAGGCAGGGAGCCTGACATTTTGCAAATTGCCATCTCATTTGTTCCCCACCACCATCCTGCAAAGTAGGTAAGATTTGTGGGGGGATCATTAAGGTTTACAGAAGGAGACCCTCCAAGGACTCAGCTAGTTAACTGGTATAAACCAAGAAAACTCTACTCCTGCCACCTCTCAGGCAGCTAGAGAGAGACAGAGAAACATCAGGTCAGTAGCGCTGTTCCCCACAGATGTGGGTCAGCATACGCCCATACTGACTCTGCGTTCACAGACAGCCAGGCAAAGCCGAGAATGTATCTCAGAGGCAGGTCCCTCCTGTCTTCCTTCCTCCTATCTTCAGAACCGCCATCTCCTGCTTGGCCAGCAAGTAGGAAGCAAATGTCTGCCAGGACACAAGGCACCCGTGGCACAGAGGCACTCGAAATTTTAGAGCCTGCTTTATTATGACCTGACATGACTGTCTGTGACTCCTATCCAACTCAGCTTGTCCAGACTCCAGCTCAGCGCCTCCCTCTAGAGCCTTCCAAGGCCAAGGTCACCCTAGTCCTCCACACCAAGACCAGTAACTGCAAACCCGTTTCCATCCGCCTTCTGCATCCTGGCTGCATTCCTTTTCCTGTCTCTGCTTCCTTGCTGCTTCCTCGCTGCTTCCATGGCTGCAGCCACTTTTGCAGCCCAGGTCTTTGGCGCCCAGCCTCTCCCAGGTGCTGCCGAATGCCCTGTGTGCAGCTCCTTTGCCTGCTTGTGGTCTGTTGATGGCCTCACTGAATAAATGCTAGATTCACACCACCCCGGGGCTGACCACTGGCCATCTCTCCAATAAGGATGTCCTCACATTTACCCTAAGCTCACAATGGAGTCTGAAGTACTGAGGTTGTTTTGCAATGGGTGCCTTTGACCTCCAAGGCCTACATTCTATATTAATCAAGATGGTATTTAGCTCTCCATGTTTGACTCATGGGTCACCAGGCAGTAAAATGTCCTCAGGTTTTCACAAGGATTGACCTCCACACACCACAGACGGGCTTGTCGGCTGTCAGTACTTCATTATTTATTATTTATTATTCTCTTGTTACCATGAATCTCTTCCTGCCTAGACATGAGCTACCATTTTGGATGACATCCTGTTGCCTATATTCCCCCACCTGCTGGCTTCCAAATTTTATAGATAGGTTGGTAGATAATCAATGTGTTGGATAAATGACTATTTAATAAAAGGTCAATAAATGTCAAAGCAAACTGGTTGCCCAAGTCCATGTCTTTCCTTATTGCATTGGTCAGATATAGACATGCAGACAACCCTCATAAAAGGTTCTCACTTTCCTAACGGCATGATCCTCACCTGCAATTTCCTTTTATGCTGTGGGACAATGGTCTTGTACCCTGTAAAGATTTGTCACTCATACTGGTTTAATAAAATGCTGATTGGCCAGTAGCCAGACAGGAAGTATAGGTGGGGCAAACAAAACAGGAGGATTCTGGGAAGAAAGAAGGTTCAGTCTGCAGTCATCGCCCAGACACAGAGGAAACAAGATGAAACTGCCACACTGATAAAAGGTACTAAGTCACGTGGCTAACATAACAAGAATTATGAGCGAATTTAAGATGTAAGAGTTAATAAGAAGCCTGAGCTAATAGGCCAACCAGTTTATGATTAATGTAGACCTCACTGTATTTCTTTGGGACAGAATGGCTGCGGGACCAGGCGGGACAGAAATCTCAGGCAACAGTTTTAAAATAAAAAATTAAAACATGCACTTATTTATTGTATTTATGTGTGAATGTTTTGCCCCCATGTATATATATGCATCATGCTCATATAGTGCCCTCAGAAGTCAGTAGAGGGTGTTGGGTCCCCTAGAACTAGAGTGACGAGTGGTTTTGAGTCACCACAGAGGTGCTGGGAACCGCACTCTTCTGCAGGAACAAGTTGTCTTAACCACTGAGCCATCTCTTCAGCCCTTCATATGCAATATCTTTCCTTTTAAAAGTTATTTGTACTTTTATTGATTCTTTTACTGATTACTTTTATGGATTTCACATCCTGCATTCTGAGCCTCCTTATCTCACTGTCTTCTGGAATATGCCCTCTGCCCCAGAAAACCCCCCAAATCAAAACCAAATTTAAACTAAAACCAAAAAACAAACAAAGAAAACCAAACCAAAAATGAACGGAAAATTTTTAAAAAAGAAGAAGACTCTTGTCTTGGAAACTGTAAGTGTGGCCCACTGAGTCTCAGTTCACCCTCCAGCCTGCTCATCTTTGCTCACTTGCAATGTCTTGACAACCCAGACACATCCTTTTTAAAGACTAAAGATAAACTATCAAAATTCTTGTAATAATGTATCAGCTGTTATAGATCTATATTGAAAACATTTTAAATTGTAAAATTGTGCTTTTTGATGTAACTATTCTTTGTTGTTGTTGTTTTTAGTGTAGTCCCGGTTGGCTTGGAACTCACTCACTCTGTAGACCAGGTTGGCCTCAGACTCTGAGATCTGCCTGCTTCTACCTCCTGAGTGCTGGGATTAAAGGCATGCACCACCACCTCCCGGCTGACAGAAAATATTCTATGAAACAAAGTTCTCTGTTTCATAAGATGATGTTTTTGAATGCTACTCTAACACAGATGGCATATTAACACTAAAGATGTCTTCTGGGGCTCTCAGCAGCTTCCCTTCTGGGCTGTTTGGGACACAGCCAGTTTTGAGTCCATATATTATGTCACTAGAAATCTTATCCCAGGCCAACAGTCCTAATTTATAGACCATAAAGGCAGTCAGATTTTCAGTATGTCCCGAGTCCATACTATAGACAACTTAACTGCATATCCTATCCTGTCGCTCTTATAAAGTCATCCTTAAGGGGCTGAGATAGCTCAGGAGTTAAGAGCATCGCTGCTCTTCCAGAGGACTGAAGTTTAGTTCCCAAAACTTATTCTGGCAGTTCCCATAATTTCAGATCTAGGGGATCTGATGTCTTTTTCTACGTTGCCCATGAATATACACATACACATGCGAGCATGCTCCCATGCACACACACACACACACACACACACACACACACACACACACACACACATGAGCATGCTTCCATGCTCATACACACATACATATACACACACGTGCATGCTCCCATGTACACACACACATACACACACATGAGCATGCTTCCATGCTCGTACACACATACATATACACACGCATGCTCCCATGTACACACACACATACACACACAAGCATGCTTCCAGGCTCGCACACATATACATATACACACGCATGCTCCCATACAGACACGCGCGCACATTGTCTAAATGACTTTTACAGTACAAAGCGCTATTCAACTCCTATCATAATGATGTTGCACACTCAAGACTAATTACTGAATTTTAAGTGGAAATTTCTGACACTTTTAAACTCAACTGATTTCTGTAAGCACCCCCAAACAATCACAACTGGGGTCATTTTGGCAAACATGCCTTCCTTGAACAACATTTGGCTCAAAATATAGTGGACAAAACTCCCTTCGAG